CAAATCTCACCCCCCAACTCTAAAGGGAAAACAGCAACACCTGTGTTTTACAGAACTGACCCAGGTGACCCATGAAGGGCAAATAAAGGTGTTGGCTGGGCACAAAGGAGGGGTCATACTCATCAGGGGCTTTGAAACTCCCCCCTGGATTAGCATCTTTGTTTCAGAGAGCTTTAACGAGTACCCCATGTTTGCTTTGCACTTACTGTGGAACCCAAAACATGTTGGATTGGGATTGGAGAAACCTGGTCTAGTGGAGGATGGAACTGAGGTTGGAACTAGGGGGTGGAACTGGATGATTTTTAAAGTCCCTTCAACCACAAACCATTCAGTGGTTCTGTATTTTGTTCTGACATCTGCACAGCTCCCCTTTCCTCCTGACCCTGTAGCATTCTGTTGCTAAAAACAAACATAACTTGCTCTGAGTCCCTCCCAACCCCAAGAAGGTCCCCAGGGTCTCCTCGGAGGGTCAGTGACCGGCTGTCCCCGGGTCACAGGGAGGGAGTGGGATGGCAGCAGGGCTGAGTCACCAAAGGCCAGCCAGTAGCTGAGAGCAGGAGGCTGGGCTGGATCCAGACATAGCCGGAAAAACTCTCCCTGAACTCATTAATGACATTTTTTCTCCTCGTGGATGGGCTCAGTGAAGTTCTGTCTCTCTTTCTCTCTCAGTTTTTTCAGCCCACCAGAGCGAGTGATCCCTGAGCCCAGCAAGGAACTGGACCCTACGAGCACACTGGGCTGACTCTGCCCTCACCAGAGCCCCTCTGCCTTTGCCAGGAGGGCAGAGTGTCCTCCCCAGAGCGGCAGGGGGGGAAGGGGGATAATCCCCCACTGCTGTTCAGCCCAGTCACTCCAGGCTCTGAGTGTGACCAGCCCCTGACAGGTCCAGCCCTGCCCTGAGCAGCTGCTGCAGTTTGGGGAGTCCACAGAAAATGGGAAACCCACCTGAAGCACAGGATCTTTACAGTAGGAAAAGACCTCCTAGATCACCAAGTTCAACCTTTACCTCAATCCCCCCTTGCCCACTAAACCATATCATGAAAAATGAGAGAAAAGGTTCAGAAACCAAACACCTTGTAGACACAGGTGTGATACACTTAACTATTATAAATGACTTCAGTAGAGGTAGAATAGTAAAACTAGAATTTCTGCTGCTTTGACAGCAGAAACACCTATCCAGCAGTATTGAAATTCATATAATCATAGTTTTGTGCCTTTCAAAAATAGTAATTATCAATTTCTTTATTTGAAAACCTACTACACATCACTGATGGATCAGCTTCTTGTCAAAACCTGCTGGAGCCTGGGAGAGGTGTTGCTTTATGTTTGTCTTGTTCTCATACTCCTTCCCAGACACCCATCAGACAGTGGGATGTAAAACACCCCACGTGGTTTCCATGGATTGTCAAACACACACCTTCCCTGGGACATCTTGTGCTCGAGAAAGGTGGAGGCAGAGCAAACTGCACAGGCAAACAGGGAACAATTATAACATTTCTAAACAACATTTAGGATAATTATTATAAAACACAGAAACCCCAGTGACTGCAGGGGATGCTGGCATATATATCCACGTATCCCATCTCCAGTGTCCACAGAGAGCAAAAGCACATCCAGCTGGTTTCCTCCCTCGTTTCCATCTGCAGCTTCATGGATCGAACCAAGGATGTCAGGAGTGGTTTCCCGGGACAGCCCTGGCTCAGGCAGCATTGGAGCTCCCTCTAGCAGCCATGCCGGGACACAGCCAGCTCCTGCAGAACCAACACTCCTCCTCCGCTCACCTGGCACAGCGCGAACAAAGCAAGAACTGCCCCGATGCTGGTACATGTATTTTTGGAGTTACATTTCCTGCAAGTCCCTGCTCCGTTTCAGTACTTGAGGTGAAAAAAGACTTCGTGCTGCACTTTAGAATGGTCAGTTTGGCAAATGAATATGCCATGGGGTGAGTGGCCCCTCAGCAAAGCCGCGGGTGGGGGGCTCCAGAGGGGTCTCAGCCTTTTCAGGCAGTGCCTTGTGAGCAGCCAAGTCCCCTCCTCTTGCCAATGACCTCAAATGCAGTGTCAGTGCTGCTCCATCCCGATGGCACTGCCAGCCCCAGGCTCATGGGAGGAGCTTCCTCAGCCACAAATTATTATATAATTCAGACTCATGATGAATCTGGAGCTGCTTGGAATGGTGGCAATCCATATTCCACGGCACAGCTGGTGGCTTGGCTAAGGAAACATCTCAAAACCTTGACTGCATTCATGTTTGAGATCTACACCCTTCTACATTTTTCAGGGAGTTATTTCTTCTCCTCACATTACATAATACTTTGTTTCAGCTACTTAAAATCTACTTTGGGAGATGAATCTCTTAATTTATCATAGTTGAATTGGTTTGTTGTTGGTGTTTTTTTTTTTTCTGCTCCATCTAGTGGTGCATAAAAATCCAGCCCATTCCAGCCCAAAGTGTCCACACACGCTGCTCTGAGCTGCTTTAATGAGCTCCCACAATGAGTTACAGAGAGGAAATAATACATGTGCAGAAAATAACAGCAAAACTGAAGTCTCACCCACCCATTTTAGGCAACCCCCCCAAGAGCTGAATGTGTTTGCAAAGGGGAACTCCACATTGCAGAAGAAAACCAGAACAGCCTGATCCTAAACGGTGCAAGTGCCAAAAGGTGCCGAAGGAGAAATTCCCCAACTGAATTTCCCCAAAGTGGCAGCTTTTCTTCAGTCCTGTGAGTTCATGGAAGAAGAAAATGGGTCCATAAAAATAATAAAATGGCATTTCTACTTCACCTTCCATACCAGGAAGCACAATAAGATAATCTTCACTTTTCACAGAAACAGTGCAGATTCATTGAGGAATCAGAAGAAAAAGGGAATTTTTCTGCTGGTACCTTTCTCTGTTTTATAATAACATGCAGCATTTAGGTCATTACTTCTAACTCTGGTTAACTAAGAGAGCCCCTACCAGGCTCTACTGCTAAACCCTGAGATCCACAGCATGTTTTATTTAGCCAGACATCATTTATTTAAACAGGAAAATGTTTACTTCTGCATTTCTGACTTCCAGAGCCTCAGAGAAGGTCAGCTGCTCTCTGTGCTCCACCAAGAGTAAATGCCACAATTTAATGATACTATGGCTACAAACTCAAAGTGTTTCAAATGCCAGCAACTCCTAATGACACCATTTACCCTTAATTGGAAAACTACTGGATAGAAAACACCCCCTGGTAGTGTCCTGGAAGAGCCAATAACACTGGTCAGGCTTTGACTTCATTTTCTCCTGAGACACATCATTAACCACAGCCACATTTAGGATAATCACGTGCTGACTCTTAGAGGAAAAAGGGCTGGCACCCGGAGTTGGGGGGTTAATCTGCCTGGTTAAACAGCAGTCCTGCTTCTTTGTTTCCCTTTACACACACAGATAATACATAGTTATTGAAAGATTGGACAAATCTTCCCCTCTGGAAGGGAATAATTATAGTGCTCCAGAGTTCAGTACACTGAGGAGAGAGAGTTAATCACTGTTTACATCTGGGAGGAGATAAGCAAGTCAAAATATCAGAAATTCCTACTGTTTCTATCTTTGGGAAGCAACTCAGAGAAACTCCTAATTATAAAGGCCCAAATTGTGAGAAACAGTCAGACATTTCAATGGTTACCCTGCTTAGTAAACATCAGCTCCCTTCCAGGGATACAGTCAACTCCACTAATTCACTACACAATTTTTTGCATAAATTGTTTTAAAATTTTACAGTGGGAGTGAAAGTTCTTCAGGTACATTGTAATAAAAAGTGATGAAGAAACACGTGAAACTCCGGAATATTCAACAGCAAAGAACAGCAGCAGCCATATAGTGTTTGTGGTCTGCAGTGAGCACAAAGGATGAAGAGAAACCTGCAGAATCATGAAGGCAGATTATCCTTCCGCAAGCAAATCCTTCCCAGGCCTGGGACACTGCACAGTCAAAGCCAAGGCAAGCACAAGAAAACATTTCACAGGAAGGATAGAGACAGTAGATCAAATCTAACACAAAAGCAAATAACCCGTATTCTGTTTTTATATGGATTCCTTTGGGGGGACGAAAGCACATTGTACAGAATGGGAGTGAGCCTCAAGCTGCCTTCACAGTTCTTCCCTCCTTGATCCTGATGATTCTCCTTTTATCCAATCCTCAAAGCCACATACACCTACAAATACATACCTGCTTTTCACCCTACATCAAGCCACTCTGCCTTTCCACGAGCTCCAGACAGTGTGGAGCAGTATTTTAACTCATGAAAGCCACAAGGACTTCAGAGCCTTTTTTCCCCCTCCCAGCCTTTCTTTCTTGCAATCCTCAGGGTAGGCAATGCCACTGCACAGGAACTGTTCTCTGTGTATGTACTTGGACTGTTTCAGTTTGGAAGATCCAACCAGCAGAAATTCTCCAGTTGTTTTAGAGGATGTGTCTGGAAAGACTGTAATCAACAAAGTGCCTTTTGGGCAGTGGGAGCTTGGCCACCCATGGCCATGCTCTCATTTACCCAGTCAGTCTGCTCAATTCCAAGTTCATTCCTTCAATGACAACCTTGTGCAGAGCTTTGGGAAAAGTATTGTCATTGATTAGGCAACAGAAGTTCATGAGCAATGATCTGGGGCTTTGCTGCTGCTGCACACAAGCCTTGCACAAACACAGGCCAAAGAAATGAGAACACAGAGCTCAGGGTGTGACCAGTCCTGGTGAGAGGATCTGCTGCAACACAGGTGTGCTGGTTCCTCAGAACAATCACAAGGCAAAGAAAGAAGGGTTAATCTCTGTAAGGTAACAGCCATAAAATGTCACGTGGTGGTGTTTGCCCAACCTTGAAATGAACTGTTAACACAGCCTAACACAGCTCCTGGGGAACAGCTGCCCTCCCACCCCACATCCCCAGCCTTTGGGGGAAGGAATCCCCTTAGTCTGTGCCCTTCACACCACACAGTCACGTACAGACAGGAACAAAACTCACAGTGCACTCCAAGACTTATGGAACTGTTTATTTTAGTTCAAAATAAACTGTGCATTTCAGGTATTTGTTTACAGCTGGAGTGTGTTCTCAGCACTGGACAGGAGGAAGAGCTGTAGAAAGGCATGGACAGGAGATCAGTGAGGGCACAAACTGTGCCTTCTGCATTACCCAGAGGGACAGGACAGAATCCTATGGCATCCATGCAAGTGCCAGTCCATACACACCAGTAAGAGAGGAGAGGAGAGCTGGGCTATACAGGTGGAGCACTGCCTGCACACTCAGCAGCTTCGCTGTTATCTTGAGGATGGGCTACTAGACCCCGAAGGTGGACAGCAGAACTGGTGCAGAACATTATCTTCCCTGCCAAGGAAGGGAGGGGGCAAGAAAGAAGAGAGACAGAGGAACAGAATCACAGGGAACAGCATTAGGAAAGTTAAGCTTGAGATTTTCCTGGTTTTGCTTTTAAATCCACAAATACTGTCACTTGTTTGTAAGTACCACCCAATTAACCATTTCCATCTGAGGCAGGACTTCCAGCACAGGGAAGAACAGCCCAACGAGCTTGGTCAACTCTGAAGAGTTAACTCTGGGGCAAAAGCTGGTTTGAAAGGGCAATTTCTGCTTTTTCTGTAAGAAGACTCCCATTAAGTTGCCATGTGCACACCCAGCCTGCAGTGGCCATGGCTCCTTTATTTTTAACATGCTTAAAACTTTCCACAGGTATTTTCACTGCCCACATTCCACTGAAAATGCAGAATATTCCCCTTCTGTGGGTGATTTACACACAGAAATATTGATTAATGGCTGAACTTCCCACCTCCCCCCGCCCTCTCCTCGGGTAGAAGGAAGAGCTCTGTCTCCATGAGGGGTTGCCAGCATCATGAATGGTGCTACAAAGCAGGAGCAGTTTGGAATACCTACATCTGTAATGCTATACAGTGCTTTATGGCAGGTGGAGGGAAGGATGCTGGCTTGGCAGGAGGCTGCAGCGAGGCCACTTCTGAACCAGAACAACCACGAGGGGCCATTTCCTTTAAACTAAAGAACAAGCTAAAGGAGGAGGATGGAAAGGAACACAGTGAAGGAGGAAAAACAAGAGAATCCAAAAAAACAAAGAGTAAGTTTCATGCTATTCTGGCAGCTCCTGATTGTGCTCCAACTGCTCGTTGTGCAGGGACACCATTCCCTGTTTGTACATCCCTACATCACGTAGGCATCAAGTGGAAAATTACAAGTATTCCTATAATTATGCCAGCTTTCCTTTGCCATAGGGCGTGAGCACAGATGCCTTATATAATCAGCTGAACCTCACACTGACTTAGGGTGGGATTTGGGCACAGTTTGGCTCTGCTTTGCTCTGTCCATCTGTATTTTGCCTCTCTGTGCTGCTGGTCTGAGTGATGCTGCTCTCACTCCTTTGCTCAGTTTGAAAAAAAATCTTGTCAAGCTTTTAAATATCTGTATATTCTAAAGAGAGGCTTGAGGGCTTAAATGTGCTGAGTTACACAGCAGGGCAATTGCTATTCACTTAGAAATTAGATTCCTATTCAACTTTTTTTTGGCACAGAATATCAATAAATATTTATATCAATAGTACGAAGGATTCTGAAGTGCAGCTACAGCTTCACCTGTGACTAATCACTGGGAAGCTCCCACAGGACCAGGGAGTGGTGTGGGATGTCTCTACAGATGCTTCCATGAAGGACATGTGAAGTACTTCCTTTGTGTCTAAGCCTGGGGAAGGGTCCAGTGCCCATCAGTGGGAAAAAAATAAACCGAGGGTTTCAAAGTACCACATTTATCTGTAAGGAGGTATTTTTCATTTCAGGAATCTAAGCAAAAAGTTCTCCCAGTTTTCTCTGGCTATGTCTGGTGTGCAAGAATTCCCACTGTGCTCTTGGGAAGACTTAAAAAACCAAGCTACTCTAATACAAGGTAGAAGCATCTGTCAGCTTGGGATCACTGGAGGATAAGCCTCTCTGTTAACCAGTTATGGTGGCAAAACAACTCCAATGCCTACCAGGGGCTCAGACTAAAAAGAAATAGCACAATCAATCCTTCTATCATTGTCCATACAGTGGTTTGTTGCATGTAAACCAACATTACCTGGTGAAACAAAGATTCCACATTAAAATTTCACACAAGTACAGTATTTTCAGAACGATGGTTTTACCTCCCAGAGGTGCTGATTAAACATTAAGCAGGCAGAGACTGCAAGAAAATGATGGGATTTCTTTGGTACTATAACATCCTTTGCATTATCTTTTTGTTTTCACAGGTATCACTGGGGAAAAAAAAAAGAAAAGAAAAATCTCTAGCTTCGCGATTTTAAAAATGGTCTTTGGACATGATAAGGGCGTCTAATTTGAGATTAGAAGGATGGAAGGTAAAGCAGATGGAGAAAGGAATGAGTGACAGCCAACATTTCATGCAAATCAGAACAAGGAAATTATAGTAACAAATAAACACAAGATGAAAAGATGCTCAGACAGCAGTGGTGAGCAAATCTGTCCATGGTTGGAGTTGCATTTATCACCTATTCCATGTCCATCCACAGAATACAGATAGGAATGACTGTACATCCCCAAGCATGGGCACTTTCCTCCTGCAATCCTGCTGGGTGGGCTCCTGTGGAACAGCCACACCTCAACATTCCACAGCTACAGCACAGTAGGGCTGCAGGGCATGAAAAACCAAACCAACCAAAAACCCCAACCCCCAATTTCAGCAGAGTGGGGACCATCTCCAAGGGTGGGCTGACCTGTCCTGAGACTGGGAATGAGCCCTGCACCCCCAGGAGGGTGTGACCAGCTGAGGAACTGGAAGGCTCTCAGTGCATGGGGGGTGTGTGACTGGGATGAGGAACCTCCCACCTGCCCAGACGGGCTGAAGTTCTGCCTGAAGGTTGTTTAAAGATGTGTCTTGAACCACAGACTGGTTTGGCTTGGAAGGGACCTTAAAGCCCATCCAGTACCACCCCTGCCATGGGCAGGGACACCTTCCACTAGCCCAGGTTGCTCCAAGCTTCATCCAACC